AAAAAAAAAAAAAAAAAAAAAAGAATCTGGGCTTGGATCCCCAACCCTCACATAAGAAGCCAGGTGTGATAGAGAGCCAACTTCTGGGGGTACAGAGCCAGGAGGATCCCAGGGGCTGGCTGGCCTGCCACACTCAGTTGCCTTTGTTCTCAGATCACAGGGGAGTTTACCCGGTTGGTGTCTGCCCACCGGATCCCAGGCGGCCTGCTTTTCAGGAGGTGGGCTGAGGTGGTACAAGGACAAGTAGTTCAGGAAGGTCACGCTCTACTAAGCTACGTGTTCCCAGCTGACCTTCTGGTTTTTATGTTTTGTTTTGTTTTTTTTCTGTCCCCAAAGGAAAGGTGGAGCCTTCCTGCTCAAGAACTTAATTTCTTTCCCCGTTCTTCCCAAAGCTGCATTCGTGTCCTATTCCTGGAGAATGAACTCAGGCTTCCTCAGGGTCAGCACTGCGGAGTCTCTGGGTCAACTGAGAAGAACATAGGAGGAAGAGCTGGAGATGCCAGATCTCATCCGCGGGCATCACTTCCGAGTCTGTTTTGTAGCCTCTGCCTCAGCCTCTGCAAGACCTCAGAAAGCTCGAGGCAGGAAGAAGCACTGCCTGTCCTTGACTCATTCCACCATTTTCAGACACAGAGGAAGCATTCGCTTCACAGCATGAGCTCAGCTTCCACAGTGGCTGCCCAGAGGTAACAGGTACTGGGCAATCGTGGTTCACATGAGCCAATGGAGAGCAAACTTTAAACCAACGCTCCCTCCTAGAGCTCATTCGTAGGCTCAGCGGCTTGAACTCTTCTTCCAATGATGTTCTAGGACCCTAAGAAGTGGCTGTGTTTTCCCACGAGACTGAGACCAATTTAGTATCGACTAATCATGTATCGTGCGTGCCCTCCCATGTAGCAACCCTGTCGCCGTGTGAGCTTTGCCTCTGCCTATCTCCAGGGGATCCTCTAACCCTGGCCTTCTGATCCCAGGATGCAACTCCAGCCTAATTTTGACTAATTTTTTCCAGGGTTGGGCTAGGCTGGTATACAATTACCCCTAATACCCCAGAAAAGAGCCATTTCTTGTGTCTGCCATGGAAAAGAATTGCCTCTGCTCTGGGTATTATGTCAGGGGAGCAATACAGCAAAGCTGGGGAGGGGTACAAGCAGCCTTCCCAAAAAGGAAAGTAATGTTGTGCTGATTTTTTAATGTCACATTGCTTGAATTCCTAAATGTACATGAAAAATAACAATGTGTCAGGTTTGCTTTTTTTTTTAAGTAAACTTAATAACTAGAGTAGGCTCTATACAAAAACATATGTATGTGTATAAAAAATATGGGAAAAGACAAATAGCTAAATGTAATCAGAAGTTGTCAGTTTTAATAGTAAGATTATAAGCTCTGTGTGTGCGTGTGCGTGTGAGTGTGAGTGTGTGTGTGAGTGTGTGTGTGAGTGTGTGTGTGTGTTTGACTATTTAAAAGGGTTTTCCATAATCCTTATCCTTACAAGGCAGAGGCAAGACGTTTATAAATCTGAAGACTATGTGGGCTATACAGTGAAACCAAAACTCAAAACAACAAAATTTCTTGCAAGTAATACGTTTAATGGTGTTGTTTTGCTTTGTTTTTTACTAAAAAGAAAAAAACGTCCTAGGCTTTGCATTCAGATGTCTAGGTTCTCCCATTTTGAGGATGTTTAGCTTTGCACAGGGCGGTGGGTAGGGGGTGGTGCCTACATAGTCAACACACCCACTCTGTCTGCTTCTCAGAAGCTAAGGGGAAGTAGGGAGCCCAAATGGAAGCGCACATGCTCTTTTGCCCAGCCAGCTGGGACGAGCACTACTGAATGGCTGTCCTTAGTGGTGTTTAATAAGTACTGTGTGGCTAAGATTCTAACAGACCCCAAAATTTGTGCAATCCAGTCAGCTGTTGGTCGGGAGTTGGGGACACAGGAGTACTCCAGAAAGGCTTCTGTGGAGTCGATACTCTGTGAGCTCTATGTGAAGGACAAACGGGAATCAGCCAAAGAAATGGAAAAGGATATTGTAAGGAGGGTCTGAGAGGTAGAAAAAAGAGATGAAATTAACATCTGCTGGCCGGTGCTGTCCAGAAACACCCATGATGATTAAGAAGTTCTGAGTCTGGGCTGCCTGAATGGTAGCCACTAGGCGCATGTGACCAATGGCCTAGCAAAGGAGGGGGGTTCTAATTTGATTCCTTTTCTTTCTCATTTTTTTTAACATGTAGCCCAAACTGGCCTTGGACTTGCTATGTAGTTGAGGATGAACATAGTTATTGGATTCATGGTCCTTCCAACGCCACCTCAAAGATGCTGCGTTTATGGCTATAATGCCAGCACACTCAGTTTATGTGATGCTGGGGAGCCAGGACGTTTTAGGCAAGCATTCTACCTACTCAGCCCTGATTTCATTGTTGTTTAATTTAACTGTACTAGCAGCAGACACTGGAGAGGTGCATCAGTGGTTAAGAGCACTGGTTGCTGTTAGAGATGGCTTAGATTTGGTTTCCAGCACCCATATGGTGGCTCACAGCCATCTATAATTCCAGTCCCAGGGATCCGATGCCCTCAGCTGGCCTCTGTGGCCACTAGGCATGCTGGTGATTCACATGTGTTCGTGCAAGCAAAATACTTATATACAGAAAAATAAATAAATAAATCTTAAGTTTAAACAGCAGGGTAGACACAGGAGCCACTGTGTCAGACAGCGTAGCTCTGAGCTGCCATCTGGTTTGCTGTAGTAAGGAGTTTTTCTGGTTAGTTTTGTTTTCATTCCAAGAGTGAAAAGGAGTCGCTACAAAGTTGCAAAACAGAGTAATTACATGGGTAGATTGAAAAGATTAATTACAGATTTAGGAGCAAGATAGACTGGCTAGTTTTTAACCTGTATTTGCTTTCCATGAACAACTCAGAGAAGGTGACAAATAGCCCATAAAACAAACATTTGCCATAAAAGTTATCTTTAGAATGGATCTGACCATGAAAACTGCCAAACAATTAGGCCACCCACAGCCCAAGGAGCACAGATAATCACCCCCCCAGGAGACAGGGAGCATCAGGCACCGTTGGGGAGGAGGCGGGGCCTGCATACAAATGGCCAATTAAAAGTCACACAGTATAGTGCCTCTCTAGCAGTCTGAGAAATTTTAAGAAAAGTGAGATTCTCAGGTTTTTTTCTCTGTGGTATTAGTAAAATACTTTTAAGGGTGGGTGTTTAATGGATGGACAGCTGCCCTTTTAACCTTCTCTCAGAGGAGGATTGGGACCTCCCTCCTGGAGCTGGTTCTGGGAGAACTGGTTCATGTGCAGCCTCTAGCATCCTGTTTTTTAGAAATCGCCTTAAGATGTAGTAAGGGATCTTTAGGAAGACTTTGTATAAGATGGTTCAGGTCTGTCTTACTCAGGTCGAAGATAAAAATGCCTACAGCTTAATTGTGCTTCTCAATTAGGTTTCTTAACAGATACACTTGGATGATGAAACACTAAACTTCATCACTGTTCACTATCCTGTATGTACTTCATGGAGGAAATGCTAAGAATACATATTTTATTGGAAAAAATATGATATCTGTCATCATGTGAAAGGTTAGTGGTGTAAATTAAATTGCATGAGTAGAAAAAGAACACAAGGAATATTCATCAAAATGTTGCTGTTGTTTTAACATACAGAAGGAAGGTTTACTGGGCATACACGGTAACCAGCGGCAGAGGCAAGATGGCCGCCGGAGGATGAGGCAGTTGTCACATGACATCCATAGTCCTGAAGGGGAGAGAGATGAACCCTGGTACTCAGCTCATTTTTCTATTTTCTATTCAGTCCAGGACACATTACTGTTGGCATTTTGTCTAAACTCCACCCCCACAGTTACATGGCAACAGCCAGGTAGGCCTGCCCACTATAAAAGGGGCTGTTTGCCTCCTCCTCTCTTTCTCTTGATCTCCTGCTCTCTTGCCTCTTGCTTCTCTCTTGCCCTCTGGAGCTCTTCCCCTTCCCTTCTCCACATGCTCATGGCCGACCTCTATTCTTTATTCTTCTCCTCTCCATCTCCTCTCTCTCTCTCTCTCTCTCTCTCTCTCTCTCTCTCTCTCTCTCTCTCTCTCCACTCCCCATGCCCTAAATAAACTCTATTCTATACTATACCATTGCATTGTAAGGAGCCGCCATTAGAAGATGGCGCCTATTTCCTGTGTCTGAGGTGGAAAATAACTGTATTCAGGGTTGTAAACACGTGCTGTGAGCATGCGTATCTTTCAGACACGTCTCCTCACCCTCCCTAGCAGTATGCAAATGAAGTTCTGCAAGAAGCACCAATTAGACACTTATACACAGTTGTGATAACTATTTAAGCAGCACCCATTTCGGGCTTCGGGGTCTTTCACTTTGCAATCAAGAGTAGTACCCCAATAAAGTGCGTGAAGAAGAATCCTGTTGTGGCGTCTTCCTTGCTGGCGAGGTGGGCGTGACATACCATCATGTGTGTGGCTGGTCCCTTAGGAGGAAGGGATGCCTTGGCATGGGCCCGCTGAGACATCCCTTTCCCCCATACATGACTATACTCACATAGAACATATTCTATATCTTTTTAATTTTTTTATAAACACATCACCTACCCCTCATGGAATGGTGCCACCTACATTTAAGGTGGGTTTCAATGAACCTAATTTAGAAAAATCTAGAAGCTTGTCTAGCAATTCTGAATCATGTTGAGTCAGCAATACTAACCATCAAAGAGCTTTTCATCCACATTGTGATTGCCCGTGACATTTTTCTTCCTGTTTCTATGTTGAAAATCTGTGATAATGAAAAGTAGAAAGCATTTCTAATTAAGGTTGTTGACTACATAGACAGTGTTAAACCGTAACAAAGAAATAATTGAAAGCCAGCGATTGCCACACTTCTGCCTTTCTAAGTGAAGGGGCAGGAGACATTTGTGAGACATTATAGTCTGGACTATAGTGCCTCTCAGGGTCTTAGTGGCTTTGGCATCCTTTCCAGAAACTCTTCCTGTGTTAGTAATTGCACAAGTGTTTTAATTAATCAAGATAAAATGTTGACGGCCATCGGTGACCATGAATGAAGATGATCTTGAAGCCAAATGTGCAGATAGGAAAATTCGAGAGATTGTCTCTGATGGGCTCATGTGAGAAGCTTTCCAGCCTCTGGAAAAGCACAAAGGAGACTGGCCAGACGTTCTCATTGGAGAACAGATGACCAGAAACTCAAGCTGGTCCCACACTCTTCTGTGACTGTTACAAGAAAGTGAGAGGGAAAACTCTGAGGAAAACAACTTTAAACAGAGATTTGTTCCTCGCTAAATTCCAAAGGCTTTATCAGTGCAGACCAGAATCTAGGCTTATGTGTTGGCATTTACCCTTCTATCCAGTGAAAATTATCAGAACAGGAAAGCTGTTTCTTGAACAATCTTCAGAACCAACAGAACAGTTAAATTTAAACACATGTACTCGAGCTGACGAGATAGCTTATTGGTTAGAAACACAACCATCCAAAAGAAAATTATCACTAGTCCGGGGTGGTGGTGGTGGTGGTGGTGCATGCCTTTAATCCCAGCACTCCAGGAGGCAGAGGCAGGTGGATCTCTGTGAGTTGGAGGCCAACCTGATCTGCAAAGCAAATTCCAAGATCGCCAGGGCTGTTACACAGAAAAACCCTGTCTCAAAACAAAAACAACAACAAACTGAATCATAAAGACCTGTGTGTGGATCACAGTGCTCGCTTAACAAGGCTTAACTCCAGTGCTAGAGGAGATGGGGACAGGAAGAACTCTTGTGCTGGCTGGCTGCCAGTCTAACCGAAAAGAAAAGAAGAGTTCCAGGCTCAGGGATAGAACCTGCCTCAAAGGAATAAGTTGGAGAGTGACAAGATGGGGATACTCAATGCCCTCCTCTGACTTGTGCATGCACACACATAGGCTCGTGCACACACACACACACACACACACACGTACACTTATACTCTATTTCCTATACAGAAAGAAAGAAACAGAGACTAGAAGGTAAGATGGGAGGGGTGACTGTAGCCAAGACTGATGCCAACCAAAGGCCTATGAGTCTCGTTAAAGACCTGGCATCGTACTCTGTCTGGTTTCTTCAGAGTGAGAGATCTGCTATCTCATGGCTACTCTTCCCCTTGCCTGGTTGAACCCTCCAGGATCCTGCAATAAACCCACTCCATCCTCCCATCCATCAGTCCTTTCACCCACCGTACCAGCTGGTTTTGTGTGTCAACTTGACACAAGCTGGAGTTATCACAGAGAAAGGAGCCTCCCTTGAGGAAAGGCCTCCATGAGATCCAGCTGTAAGGCATTTTCTCAATTAGTGATCAAGTAGGGAGGGCCCCTTGTGGATGGTGCCATCCCTGGGCTGTGGTCCTGGGTTCTATAAGAAAGCAGGTGAGCAAGCCATGAGGTGCAAACCAGTAAGCAGTACCCCTGCATGGCCTCTGCATCAGCTCCTGCCTCCAAATTCCTGCCCTGTGTGAGTTCCTGTCCTGACTTCCTTTGGTGATGAACAGCAATGTGGAAGTGTAAGCTGAATAAATCCCTTCCTCCCCAACTTGCTTCTTGGTCATGATGTTTTGTGCAGGAATAGAAACTCTGACTAAGACACCACCCTAACATCCCAGCCTCCAGGTCACCCTCACTCCACCAGGGTGAGCTGAGACACTGAGCAGAACAGAAAAAGTGCTCAGAAATGTCACTCCACATTGAGTTCAGTCATTGGAACTTTACGTCTCAGCATTTGGAACTTTTGTTAACAGCTTCCTTTCTCCTCCTGATTCTGACATCTATTTAGGGGGGAAAGAATTAAAAGGACATCTTTGGCTCCTAAAGCAACTTGATGGCTGACAGGTCTGAGTCAGAAGCAGAGAAATGCAATGGCAGCTAAGAGCCTCCACAGACCATGGGTGGTGAAATGAGCAAGCCTCCGTGGGACTGTACGTGAGTCTCAGGGAACACGGGGAGCCGAGACAGCAGAAAAAGAACCTGGAGGAACACATGTGCTTACATGATTCTCTGGTAGATTTTATATTATTGATGATGAGTCTGGCCTTTAAAAGCTGAGCCCTCTCAAGTAGATCTTAAATGTTTGCATTTTGTGGTTGCTGTGGCAAAGGTGCTAATGGAATTAGTGACATCACATTTCAGAGAAATCAACACTCAGAACTCGCCCATGTACGCACATGCACTCACAAACACAGGCCGAACAAATATCCAAAACGAGTCAACATTAACCAGCCTCTGCTCTAGAACAGACGCCAATCCCTGCTGGATCTGGGCCTCTATGCAGTGTATCTGAATCAGCACCTGACATCACTCCTACATCCGGGCCTCTGCTCAGTGTCCCTGACTCAGCTTCTGACTACCTGACCATCAGGGCCTCCATGCAGTGTATCTGACTCAGCATCTGGCATATCAGCTGCCTCTGGGCCTCTGTGTAGTGTATCTGACATGGCATCGGACTCCCTGGAGCATCCAGACCTCTGTACAGTATACCTGACTCAACATCTGACTCCCTGCTGCATCCGGGTACAGGCCTCCGTGCAGTGTATCTGATTCAGGGCATCCGACTCCCGGCAGCATCCGGGCCTCTGTGCAGTGTATCTGACTCAGCGTCCAAACCACGAAAGCCCACATCTATGACACCTGCCTGGAGGAGAGTCAGCCAATTCCTATTCTATTCCAGACATCCAGGATTTTTTTTTTTTAAATCCTGATTGGATTTTCCCACTGGAACTTGGCTTCTCTTTGCAGTCTATGCTGTGCTGGATACAATGCCACATCCCACGACCTTCAGTGGATGTCTGAAAGTGTTGGGTTATGATGTGCTGGTCCCGGACCAGTTGCTGGGTTGTTGTGTGTGTCTTGCATCTGTCTTGCCACGGGGCTAGGCCCTCTCATGGAGACAAAGGCGCGGGAATTTGACTGTGCTCACTCCACGCTGGCGCCAGGCATGCGTTGGGCTATATGAAGCCACAGGACTCAGCTCGGGGATGGGGAGCACAGTCTGAAGTCCCAAGGGGAGGCAGAACTCTTAGCTTGGGGATCCCTGGGCCAAAAGGCCGCCAGAAACCAAGTGGTTCTCAGGCCCTTGGGCCCCCAGGCGCTGCTGGGGCGCTGAAGATGGGCCGAGAAAGAAGTGGGGCATACGGGTTATATGGGCCCGCAGCCAAAAGCGAGAAGGGGAGAGATCAGCTCCGGCTGTGTCCTGCAGGGATGAGAGTCTTGCTTGGCTGGGTCGTGGCTGCTTTCTTGGCTTGACTTGGGTTGGTGGTCTCCTTAGCTGGGAACGCAGAGAAGTCTTCTGTGGGAGATTAGGCTGCGGCTCTGTGGATGAAAGCCTGCTCCAGTGTTTCCCACAGCAGATTTCAAAGAAAAGAAACAGTCCATGGTCTTAAGATGTTTATTGTCATGGCATAAAGTAGATGAAAAGGTTTCTTAGGGCGGCCCTGAGGCTAAATACCTTTTGCAAGGAGAAGGGTCTGGGAAGAAATGTTTAATTGGCTACACCCTCTGGCCTTTAGGTACCTCATTAATATGGAGATCTGTCTTGAGGCTCTGTGGCCTGTAGGCAAGCCCTCTGTCTGTGGAGAGGCTAGTGGGCATTGTCCTACGTGACTGACAGACCCAAATCTATGAAGGTCTGCAGCCTTGTGTCAGGAACATGGAGTCTGGGAGCATGGCAAAATGCCTGCCATCCCTTGCAAGGAACCCTGCGAGGTCTCCGGCGATTTCTAGCTGGTGCTTGACCAGAAACCAGGCTGTCCTTCACGGTCCTATATGGAAGCACAGAAACGACAAACCTATGCACACCGCAAAGCAATTTCACCCTCAATCCAATACTCATAGGACTGACCACAGGCCTTAGGCGACAGCATAGATGTAAAGGCATCAGTTTGGCATGGGGATATGTTCTGAGAAATGCACCCTTGAGCGATTTCATCAGTGTGCAAAGATTATAAAGTTACACAAACTAGAACACCTATAATGCCACCAGGCCTCTTGAACATGTGTGGCCACTGCCATATATCTGGCCCATTCGAGGACAATACCATACCTAACAGACACATTCCACTCTCTGTATGAAAACCTGTATCTTTCCAAAGCTAAGTCTCTCCACCTGGCCCCTTGGTGGTCTTCCCCAGACTTCAGAGACCCTAAGTTCTCATTGGTTTCTCTCTAGCCCAGAAGGGCCAAGAGGACCTTGTCCCAACATAATTTCTTCCCATCCTTTCACAATTTAGCTTCCTTTTCAGGTAATTTGCCTTGACATCGCTAAAAGAGGGTGTGTCCAACTTGCACTGAAAGCACACTCTGAGAAATCTGTGAGAAAACTAAATTTCCCTCTAACATAAATTATTGTATAGCATCCTATATGGAACCACTAAGATGGCTGAGCAGGTAAAGCTGATGACTGCGGTTTGATCCTCAAGAGCATGTGGTAGGAGATAGCCCACTCCCACAAGCTGCCTTTCCACCTCTACAGGGAACACACACCAACTGAGAAGGCTAGGCTGACTCCATGACAGGCTTCAAATTGGCAGTTCAGGAGACAAGGCCTAAATTTCTGTGTCCAAGAACTGGGCAACTGCAGGCCTCAGAAGCTGCCCTGCCACCTGGCCTGAGGCAAGAACAATGGGTCCGCAGCAATTTCCAGACTTCCCCAGCAACAGTTTCCAGACTTCCCCAGTGACAGTTTCCAACCCCCACACCCTGGAAATGATTCTGGAATGTCCCTAGAGTTGGAGCAAAATAAAGGTCACCTGCCTCAGAATTCCCCTAATGTGCTTTAAATCAAGCCTGCAGCTCACATGATTGTCTCTTTATCTTGGTAATGGTAGACCCCAGCATGCTGGACTTCTGCAGAATAAAACACTCTTTGTGTTTATATACTATGTGAGTCAGGTATCATTCCTTGGCAATCATGAACCCTTACACAACCACAATGATAAGAATAAAAATTTTAAAGCATAAACTAACATAAACCAGTAAAGCAGAATGTCCAGGGGAAACCTTCCACCAGTTCAGAAGAGGTTGAACCACTTCCCATATGAGTCACATGATCGTGAACCCACCTTGAACCTCCGTGTGCCCAGGCTCTTCCCAGCACTGTTAACTATCATGGTATTTAATCACAGGCCATAGTCACCTTCTTCTCTATAGTTCTTGTATTCTACATCTTTACCATGGTGTGATATTTTAATAAGAAAACAGTTCAGAATTAAACTTGTTCATTGCATAAGTTGTGTTAACTCAGAGCAGGGAAGGAACTTTAAGCGGGCATGTGAAGGATCAGCTGATGCTATGGTCATGGGCTGCTGCAGGTCACATGACAGACTGCTGAAGGTCACATGACAGGTTCCCAATAGCTCAGTTTTGCCTTCCTCTTCTCCTTTTCATAACTTCTCAGTGGTAATAAATAGACACCTTAGGAATTCAAACGCCCAATGGGTAGGGAAAACCTAGCCTGAGTGTGGGCAGTGTTATTCCATAGGCTGTGGTCCCAGCCTGAATAAAAACGAGTAAGCTTGGAGGCTGGAGAGCTGGCTAGAGGTTATGAGCACTTGTCGCTCTTGCAGAGGGCCAGGATTCAGTTTCCAGGACCCATGTGGTGGCTCACAACCATCCTCTGGCTTCCTCTGGCCTCCGTCATCCACATGATGCACAAACATATGCAGGCAAATTGCTCATACAAACATATAACACCTGAGACCAGCAGCCACCTCTCTGTCTCTGCTTCCTGACTATAGATGCAGCGTGATTCCTGACTAACACTGTAAGTGCCCTGCGGTGATGGACTGCACCCTCAGCCTGGGCTTCCTTAAACTGACCGTGTGGTATACTGTTACCGCAACAGGGAGTGTAGCTAATACAGAGTGGATGGATGCAGACAGCTCCCATGATCTCTTCCACCTCAGATTGCTTCCTCAGCACTCACTTGTCTCCTCTGACACTCAATTTTCTAAACCTGCCTTGCATTTTGCCTGTGCCTGAACACAGGACCAGGGCCTTGCTTGTTGAACTCCTTGGCCCTTAACCTGAGCGTCCTCAGCAAGCATGCCGCTCCTGCTTCCATACAGCCAAGGCGTCTTAGCACAAGGAAGCATGTGGTGGAAGGTCTCATAGAACATTCAGACAAAGCTGGAGCAGGGGCCTGGTGTGTCTGCTACTGTTCTGCAAGTGAGGGGAACAGAATCGTTAAGTGGACCTCAAGTCAACTTAGTCACTAAGTGGACAGGTGCAGAAGGCCTCCCCAGCTTGCTTCAGGGGTCCATAAAAAAGTTTCTCTCCCCACTCAATAGTGCTGGCATCAAATGAAATTTTGTTCTTTGTTTTCAAAGCAACTTCGAAAAGGGCAGAGGGAGGGGCTACAGAAGTCGATCACTTGGCACAGAGTTTGCTTAGCATGCACACAGCCTGGATGTGATCCCCAGTGCTATGTAAACCATAGCAACACACCAGGAATCCCAGCACTCTGGAGATCTCAAGAGGCAGGACAATCAGGAGTTCAAGGTCATCATTGGCTGTATATTATACATACATCATGTATAAGGAGTTCATTGG